TGAAGTGCTCCTGAGGGTCAGAGCGGCCGTCGTAAGACTTGATGGCGTTCCCCCTGTACTTTTCTGGGATGGGGGCCGAGAGCACCCTGTTGGTGAAAGGGGTCATGGTCTTGACTTGGATGATGGGGTCACCTCGCCCTTCGGCCAACTCCCTCTCCAGGGCGTTGACCTTGTTCATGAGAGCGTTGAGGTCGGGGTCGTTGGAGGCGCCAGCTGTGGGGGTGTTGGCCGACTGCCTGGCCTCCATCTGAGCCAGCCTCCTTTCCAGCTGGGCAATGACCTCGTCCCGGGGGTCCCTGGCGGCCGCAGCGGCGCCCTGCTGGTTCCTCATGCGCTCTTCGTGGGCCGCATTGATCTGGTGACGCACGTCGTCCTCGTGCAGCTTCCCCTTGCCCTTGTCCGGGCGGGGCTGGTCCGCTGTCCGGGACACAGACCCCAAGCTTTCCCTTGGCGAGCCAGGCCGACGCTCACCAATCCGCCCTGCCATCCTCTCCGAGACTGGACGACGGCACGTGTTACCTAGCCTATTGAAGGCAGAGGCTTTTCCACGCGCTGGGGTCTGCCCAGGCCGAAGAGGGGAAGCGGAGTGGGAGTGGGACGACGCCGTGTCCTGGGCCATGACCCCCTCATCGTTGCCTATATGGACGGCCAACGGTTGGGGCTGAGGAGGTGGAGTGACGTTCCCCCCGGTCCTTGGCAAGAGAGCGCTGAGGACGGTGGGGTTCTGGGCCAAGCTGGCGATGATGACCGACAACGCGGCCTGGACCTGTGGATCCACAGACGGAGAGGCCGCGGCCATAGGCTGGGCCGGGGCGTGGTCTATCTTCTCATCTCGTTTCTTGTCCAAGCCGATGCGGACATCAGGGGCTCCGCCGTTGAGTTGGTTGCGGAGGTCCGTCGTGAGGTTGATGGGCTCCTGGAAGACGTCCCCTCCGCCGACTTGGTCGGCCGTAGCATCCTCGTCATGTTCCCTGGTCTCCTGGTCCGCAGGGATGGCCTTGCTGACGAGGTTGCGGTTTGACCTAGTTCTTCCCATGATCAGTGGTTAGCCGTGCTTGGTAGCGACGAAGGGTGCTAACTTGATTGTTCTAGCTCTCAACGAGAGCACCAAATGATAGAGTATTAACTCCTAGATTCTAGAGAGAAGGGAGAGCTAGAGAGAGAAGTGAATTGTATTAATGAATTTTGTCCATCCTTACAACTACTCCCAAGGGGAGTATTTATAGAGAAAATACGGGCTGGGCTCCCAAGTCTTGGGCTTGGGAGGCCCATCTACAACTGGACCGCTATTGGGCCGAATACAAAGCCACTGATGGGCTATACAAATGAATAAGTGTAAAATCCGGTTCTGTGAGACTTCCGTGGCCGACGAGGGCATGGCCGATGAGGGCATGGCCGATGAGGGCATGGCCGACGAGGTCACCCAGTTCTCCGGGCTTCTGGATCATATTCTGAGTAGACCTTTTCCTGGCCGATGAGGGCATGGCCGATGAGGGCATGGCCGATGAGGGCATGGCCGACGAGGTCACCCAGTTCTCCGGGCTTCTGGATCATATTCTGAGTAGACCTTTTCCTGGCCGATGAGGGCATGGCCGATGAGGGCATGGCCGACGAGGTCACCCAGTTCTCCGGGCTTCTGGATCATATTCTGAGTAGACCTTTTCCTGGCCGACGAGGGCATGGCCGATGAGGGCATGGCCGATGAGGGCATGGCCGATGAGGGCATGGCCGACGAGGTCACCCAGTTCTCCGGGCTTCTGGATCATATTCTGAGTAGACCTTTTCATGGTTGATGAGGGCATGGCCGACGAGGTCACCCAGTTCTCCGGGCTTCTGGATCATATTCTGAGTAGACCTTTTCCTGGCCGATGAGGGCATGGCCGATGAGGGCATGGCCGACGAGGTCACCCGGTGATCGTGGTACCTTCTGTTCTTCTGAGTATGTGGGTCCTGGGGCCTAGACCCATATACTCCATCACTTACACTGTCCAGGATACACTACATATCCGATCCATTTTGTTTGAGTTAGGAGTACCCATTCGCATGCCAGTTCGTTTGCTGTGTGACAATGTTTCGGCCTCTTATTTATCCACTAATCCGATTCAGCATGCACACAACAAACACATCAGCATAGATTACCATTTTGTTCGAGAACGTGTTCGCATGGAGATTTGATCGTTCGTCATGTTCCTACACAGTTTCAGCTTGCAGATATCTTCACCAAGTGTCTCTCTCCGCAACGGTTTATTTTTCTTAGAGACAATCTGCGCGTTGTTTCCCCTGTACAGATTGAGGAGGTGTAATAGAGTAATTATTATTTAGTAATTTCCTTGTATTAGGATTTATATTATGTTTCCTAATGTACTTTAAACACTTCTCTATATAATATAGACCCAAGACTACCATGGGGTAAGCCATTCCATTATTTTCACATATCGTTTATAGTTTATACCTTGCACATTTTGGTGTTTATTTGATGTTTAGACATGTGCTCCCCCCTCCCCCCCCCCCCTCTCTCTCTCTCTCTCTCTCTCTCTCTCTCTCTCTATATATATATATATATATATATATATATATATATATATATATATATATATATATATATATATATATATATATATATATATATATATATATATATATAACGTAATATTTACTCCGTATATGACATTCGATCATTTAACATTTTAATCATCTATTACTCCCTCCGGAGATACACTTACTTTTCCTTTAGGTTGCAGAGATTATTTGGTTTTGAGTTAAGGTTTTTCTAGTCTTTATGTTCCGAATTCCTCAAAACATATCTCCCAACTTCACAGGAAAAGATAAGGTAAACGAGCCCTATACCATTTTATTACTGAACTGGACTACACAACAAGAAACGCATTTTTTGTGCATATTTTTGTATTCAGCTATGGAAAGAGCTGAACTAGAATTTAAAAGAACAGAATCACCCGGAAACAAAACTAATCAGGACAGCGAAGAAGAAATAAGCATAACTACTCAAGTTTCACTGGTCGTAACTGAACAACAAAGATGAAAAGAGACAAACATATAAACACCAGAAACATCACACCCTCCATTCTCATCTATGCATCATATCATCATCCTAAGCACTTCTCCCTCCTCCAGCCTGCGCGGGGCAGCCTTGGCCGACGGCAAGATGGTACTTAAACTTTGAGCGTCAAGAAGCTTCCCGAGCCTCTTTTCGCTCAACCCAAGAGCCTTTGCCAACTCTCACCCTCTCAGAAGTTGCATAACCGATCCTTCGCCCACCAAGAACTGGGGATTTACACAACAAGCGGGGGGTGATTCTCTGAAACTTTTAGTCCTGTGGTCAAACCTACTACTGTTCGTATTGTTTTGTCTCTTGTTGTCTCCTTTGGTTGGACCATGCGTCAGTTAGATGTCAAAAATGCTTTTCTTCATGGCAATCTGACAGAGGAGGTTTATATGCGTCAACCACTTGATTTTATTCATCCTCAGTTTCCTAATCATGTGTGTCGCCTGCGTAAAGCCATTTATGGTATCAAACAGGCTCCTCGGGCGTGGTTTTATCGGTTTAGTAGTTTCCTTCTTACTCATGGTTTTATATGTAGCAAATCCGATAATTCCTTATTTATTTATCACCACGGGTCCTCTATTCTTTACCTACATCTATATGTGGATGATATTATCATTACAAGAAATTCCCCTTCCTTCATCTCTTCCTTTATTGCTTGTCTTGGCCGATACTTTGCTATGAAGGATTTAGGGGATTTACACTTTTTCCTGGGTGTCCAAGCTATTCGTCGTGCTAAGGGTCTCTTTTTATCCCAACAAAAATATGTGTCTGATCTCTTAACTCGGTTTCATCTGCATACTCTTAAACATGTTCGCACCCCTCTTCCATCTAGAACTAAATTATCTCTTACTGATGGTGAACTTCTTGCAGATCCTACGGAGTACAGAAGTATGGTATGTGCTTTACAGTATTTGACCATGACTCGACCTGATATTACTTTTGTTGTTCACCTGGTCTCCCAATTTATGCATGCTCCTCGTACTTCACATATTTTGGCTGTTAAGCGCATTTTCAGGTACCTTCAAGGCACTCCAGATCACGGACTACTGCTTCAGCCAGATCAATCATCTCCCACTATTCAGGCTTAATCTGATGCTGATTGGGCCGGATGTCCCGACTCCAGTCGGTCCACGTCTGGCTTTGCTATCTTTCTGGGTCCTAACTTAATCTCCTGGAAGTCCAAGAAGCAGCCTACTGTTTCCCGCTCATCAACTGAAGCTGAATACAGGGCTATTGCTTACACTGTCCAGGATACACTACATATCTGATCCATTTTGTTTGAGTTAGGAGTACCCATTCGCACGCCAGTTCGTTTGCTGTGTGACAATGTTTCAGCCTCTTATTTATCCACTAATCCGATTCAGCATGCACGCAGCAAACACATCAGCATAGACTATCATTTTGTGAACATGTTTCGCATGGAGATTTGATCGTTCGTCATGTTCCTACACAATTTCAGCTTGGGGATATCTTCACCAAGTGTCTCTCTCCGCAGCGGTTTATTTTTCTTAGAGACAATCTGCGCGTTGTTTCCCATGCACAGATTGAGGGGTGTAATAGAGTAATTATTATTTAGTAGTTTCCTTGTATTAGGATTCCTTTTATATTACACAGGACTACCATATGAGGTAAGCCATTCCATTATTCATGAATCAGCCATTTATTTGATGTTTAGTCATGTTTTGACCAAAGTTTAAAAAGTGTAATAAGTAAGCCTCATTGGAACCGCTCCCCCCTCACCCCCTCTCTCTCTATATATATCTCTATATATATAACGTAATATTTACTCCGTATATGACATTCGATCATTTAACATTACTCCCTCCGGAGATACACTTACTTTTCCTTTAGGTTGCAGAGATTATTTGGTTTTGAGTTATAGTCTTATGTTCCGAATTCCTCAAAACATATCTCCCAACTTCAGAGGAAAAGATAAGGTAAACGAGCCCTTTATTACTGAACTGGACTACACAACAAGAAACGCATTTTTGTGCATATTTTTGTATTCAGCTATAGAAAGAGCTGAACTAAAGTTAAAAGAACAGAATCACCCGGAAACAAAACTAATCAGGACAGCGAAGAAGAAATAAGCATAACTACTCAAGTTTCACTGGTCGTAACTGAACAACAAAGATGAAAAGAGACAAACATATAAACACCAGAAACATCACACCCTCCATTCTCATCTATGGATCATATCATCATCCTAAGCACTTCTCCCTCCTCCAGCCTGCGCGGGGCAGCCTTGGCCGACGGCAAGATGGTACTTAAACTTTGAGCGTCAAGAAGCTCCCCGAGCCTCTTTTCGCTCAACCCAAGAGCCTTTGCCAACTCTCGCCCTCTCAGAAGTTGCATAACCGATCCTTCGCCCACCAAGAACTGGGGCTGGTTGTCCCTGGCCGAGGTGGTGAAGCCGAAGAACTCAAAAGGACCATTTAGGGACGCTATCTGACAGAAGGGGAAGAACCTAGGCACCAAAAACACATCTCCTTCCTTCACCTCGGCTTTCATGGCCAGCGTTCCGTTGGGGAACACGACTTGAACCTCTCCCGTTCCTCTAAGAACAACCCCATACTCTGTTGCTCTCGGGTTGATATGCGGCGCCATCATCGACCCCTACACAATTTTAAAATCCCACTCAAAGTAAGAAACTACCATATGAAGTCTACAATCTAACACATGACTAAAAATCAGAATAACATCTAAATTGTGCAAGCAAGTCCTAATATGGCATCAGAATCATTAGAATCTTTAGTCATGAGCACATCTGATGAACATGAGTACATGACAACTACACAATACAATAATGATGAGGGTATTTCCTAGCAGCTAAATATGAAATAATAAAACTATTTCATTCAAGTCAATCTTAAACACAATAAAAAAGAGTGAAGAGGATAGAATACATACAGCAGTTAGATTGACAAGGTAAACAGTGACGTCGGGGAGTTTGAGAGGAGAGTAATCATTTTCATCAACAGCCATGCTCCAGCCATAGTCATTGCTGAAATCCGGCTTGCTTTCATAGAGGTTGTAAGGATCAGTAGCATCGTCATTGCTGCTCATCAAGGGACTCATCAGCTTTCTGAACAGCCATGTCCATCCTTCTCCCTCTCTATCCACGGGTGCCTCAAAATCAGCTGCCCTCTTCAAGAGTGCTACCCTCTCCTCTTTCTTCAGGTCTAGGAAACCACTCCAGGCATTTGCGGGACGCTGAGAATCTGATAACGGCAAGATCGGGCCGGACAAATTCGCCCCTAGAAGTTCCCCTAGCTCTCTCCCCGACACCTGTCGTTCATTGATTCATGTCATGCTATGAAACTCTCTGTGGAAGTCATTCACTCATTCTAAAGAATGTAAGAAATTATGTGGGCCTATAATATAATCAAGCTACCATAATCCTAAAGACAAGTTGATGTAGAACCATCAATCTTTCCATACCTAAGCTGAACCTCATCCCAAAGCTCCTTAGCATCAGTAAAAGATAAGAAAGTAGTGCGAAGAGCAGGTGAAATAGAATAAATCAGCCAAGATAAGAGGAGAGCGTTGATACGATACCAGTTGATGTATATAGGATTACCGGTTGATCCCATCTTGTTCTTCACCGCCATAGCCATGGAAACAGATTTCTTCCAAGCACCAAAGTCGTCGCCTGTGAGTGTTTCGTAGATGACTCGAAGCCCGGCATGATCGCTTGGATGAAGATAATACGGTGACGAAGAGTCTTCCGTCGGATTTAGCGGTAAAGCCATAGCAGTTAGGGTTTTGCAGATGATTGAATAAAACGATTAGGAAGAAATCGATTATAGAAATCGATTAAGAAGGATGAAATCGATTGTGAGGAATCGATTAGAAAGGAAGAGTGAATTAGGATCGATCAAGACCTTAGTCTGATACCATGTAGAAACTCAAGCGAATTGAGGAGAAGAGAAGCGGAAGAAGATGTATTATTCGAAGAAGGAGAAAAGTGAATTGTTTATTACGGTAGGTTAAAGTAACCTGTTTATACTAAAGGGCTAACAGGCTAAAAATATAACAGTCCAATACAGTTTAGAAGCCCCATAAGAATAAGCCCAAATAATTATTCTTGAGAGTTGAGGAGGTTAATACTCACATTAAAAGCGGTTGATAGCGTCTTGAAATCAAATCCAGCAAGAACGGAGGCAGGATGTTTTCCACCACCGATGAAGAACGGCTGTAAACGTGAAGATCTCAACATATAAGTTACAGATAACACACACATCAGCAAGTTCAAGTGCAGCTTAAAATCCATATTTTCTGGTTTTAGATGAATCCAAAATGTGAAGTAGGGGCAGCCTAAGTATACTAAGTAGTTAGGATCCATTTGAAGTTAGTAATACATACAGATACCTGGAAAGGATTGGATCCAATGGTAGGAGAGGCGCGGACAATGCTGCAAATGATGCGAAGCCTTTGCCCGCCTGCAGTGTTGACCAAATAGAAAGCAGAGCCGGCTTCAATGGTGTATATATCCCCTGCTTTCAAGTCCCTCTCCACTAACTCATCCTTGTATATGTGGCCGATTCTTGCATCCCCTGTACACAGGAATGCATGCATACGTGACATCATCAATATTAATTATAGTAATTGCCCTATATAAGAGTAAAACTAGACATAAATGCAATAAACGTTTAACCGCACATAGTAATTAATCCTATATACACAAGGAGGGGCTGGGGACAGGAGTAATCAGGGTTGAACTCATTCTATTGAGTTTCAAACCCTTGTGTGCTAGTGAGTTTCGAACTCGAGACCTCTCCCATGCTAGGTTACCTGACCACCTCATATATAAGTATTTAATGTACAATATATAGTACCTAAACGAACGAAAAGGACGAGGGTGGAATCAAGATAATGAGGGAGGAGCAAGGATTTAGGCTCCATAGTGATGAACCCGATATCGATTAACGGCTGCTTCTGCAACGACTTCATTAATCTGTCGCTGCCACCGCTGACCACCTTAATCACCCCAGCTTCTGTTCTCACCACCTCTTTCTCTTCCTGCAACATGAAGAGCTTCTGCTGCTGCTCATCTTTCCCTTCTGAATCCACCGCCTCTGCTTCGAACTGATGGTGACCTCTTCTTCCTCCCCCTCCGCCACCGGCCCCAGCTGCCGCAGCACAATTATAAGCAACCAAAACTAGTAGCAACGCCAACAAAAGGTTGCTCATACCCGCCTGATTCTTCTTTCCCATTTCTGCTTTCTCGTACGTTTCGCTACCGCCTGATAGTAGCAGTTAATTAGTTGATGGGTAAACTGTAGTGTGTGTTTCTATCTTAGCTCGTGTTTATGAAAAGTTGAAGCGGTGGGGTGAGGGTTATTGTAGAATTGAAGTTGGCAGGTGTAAGCCATGCAAGCCAGCCATGATATATGCTGGCCTGGCGTTTTCTGCCTGCGACACACGTTTATTAGCCAAAAATATACTCTTCCCTCCCTTAAAACTTTGACATTTTCCTTTTTGGGACGTCCCAAAAAGTTCCGACATTTTCCTTTTTAATCAATTAGTTTGTAGTTTAAGGGATACCATATCCAGGTGGTGGACGCAGGATTTGTACCTGCGGCTGCCCCTGATAAACGACACCATCTAACTATACTCTTTGACACAATGATACCCACAGATAATATATATCTATGCTATAAATAGCAAGTATATAGTGATATTTTACCCAATCAGGTAGACTTATAGAAGTAATAAAGAGAAGGAAATCTATTTTTTTCTTAAGGCGAAATTGACACTAATAATCCCTACTTTTAGGGATTTCACAAAAATAATCCCTAATGAAAAAGTTTATAACAATAATCCCAACCGGATAATTGTTTCACAAAAATAATCCATAATTTTATTTTTAAATTTAAAAATGAAATGAAGCAAATAATATTATGTTTTTGTTTAGTCTTATTTGTACTGTAAATTTAATTTATTAATAATTATATTTTTGTAAAATATAATAAAAATATTTGAACACATACTTGTATTCAGTTTTGGTAATATTTAATATAGAATTACTAAAGTTAATTTTAAATCTCTATTATAATGAAATAAAAATGAATATAAATAAAATATTGATTAGAACTAAAATAAAAAAGAGAATATGATCAGTATGCTTTTAAATATTTCTATTACATTTTATGAAAAATAATAACTATTAAATTTGATTTACAATAAAAGTAAACATAAGGACAAATATACAGAGTATATAATATTGTTGATGCTTATACATATTTTTTCTTCATTATATTTAAAAAGAGTTGAATAGTTCAGATTATTGTTGTGAACTTTCCCAGTAGGGATTACTTTTGTAAAATGAATAAAAGTAGAGATTATTTATGTCAATTTCGCCTTTTCTTAATAGGATAGGTGGAGTATGAGCATAACTAATTGTTCAATAGTATATATTTTCATATTATAGTGTCATTTGATTCATGAGTCCATCGACAGTTAAAGTTACCAACCGGTGACTTTAATGATGGATCCATGATTCTACTATACTCGAACCTGCTCATTTGGAGGGGAAGTACATGTAAACAATACATATTATGCAGTAGTGTCTATCTATTAAAAATTGCAGTATTTACTATTTATGCCTGCTTAAAGAAATAAACAGAAGATCTAAATTTACACCTCATATTTACTTCGAATTTGGACGTAAATCTCATTTTCAAAATATCTCTATAAGGGCAAAAGTGTGTCCTGTACAACCGTTTTTATACAAGGCTGATTAATGCTATGCAATTCTTCATCGCACGGACATCTTATAAATTCCAATTTCCTCCAAATAGAGTTTATACTTTATACCCAGCTCAACGCCCTACACTACCTTCAGACATCCAAAATCCGGGCCCAATGAAAGACGAAATATTTTTGGGCTGTGACATCAAACATAACACCTAAGAGAACTGCACAAGCCCATTTATCGTGACGGGCGGGTTGATCTCAACCCGCTTGGCCATTCCCGCCTCAAGCAATTGTGGTAGTGAATTGGCTTCCACAGGTGCCACTCCCTTGGCAGTCCATAATGTGGTGTGGGCCCATTTGTTCTTCGAGCATATCTTTTCACCATCAATAGAACCAATGGAGGCTTCAATTGCAGCAACCGTTTCTGAATATAAGAGTGCGGTCATTTCCACTGGGACTTGTTGATGGAGAAAGGGGGCATAGCTTGCAAGAGCAGCCACACTGTGGCTTCCTTTATGAGCAAGCGTCACATGTGCTTTCTGAAGCCGGGTTTCCATGTCTTTGTCCTTCAGAAAAGCTTCAGCTTCTGAATCCTTCTTAGCCACCTGTCCAAAGAGTGCTAATCAGGCCATTTACCTTATTTATCTTGTAGTCTTATCTACTCTGATGGAACATGTAGTAAGTTATTAATGAGTCACACAAGCAAATGCCGAGTAGCGATTCTATGCATACAAATATGAGTGCCTGACTGCTGTGTGTGTGAGTGTACATAAATATATGCTACAGATTTCTAATAATATTAGTTTTACAAGCCTATTTATTATACTCTGTGCATGTTTATATAAAGAAAAGCAACAATTCACAACCACCTGCATAATTAATTAAGCATTTAAAGAAGATACGATCATTCAAATACAAACCCAAGTGCCTAAGTGCACTTGACCATGCACTCTATCACTGAACCCTAAGTTCTTAAATCCTAAATTCCTAAATCCAATTCATACTTGGTTTCAAGATCTTTTTTTTTACTTTCTTCAAGTTTTGTAAAGGACTTTTCACATTTACTCCCGACCAAGTTACTTGGTGAGTAAAACGAGTCACCAGTTAAGAAAATCTCAAATACTAGCAGCTTCAATAACACATAGGTAGAAGCTGAGCCAAACCACCAACCAAACATAGGCCTACAATGTTCTACCACATTCTGGAAATAAAAATGGACGCTTGAGGGAGGAAGGGGGCTTACATTTTCTAAAAGAGTTTTGATTTCCTTAACAGGCAAGATAATGGCAGCGAACACAATGGTCCCAAGCTTCCTCTTTTCAATTGGTCGTGTCTCACCCCTCGCAATGGATCTCAGCTGACCCAAAACTTGTTCTACAGCTAAATCAAATGGAACCTGCAGAATATAATGTTATTAAACTATACCAATTACGCAATAGCAGGGCCCATCTTGTCAAAAGAGCACATTATGGGCACATATCATGTGATGATGGTATAACATCTGCAGTAACCTGTATTAAATTAAGATAATCAGCATTTGCAAACAACACGTCTCGTAATTGCTTTTCCCATTTGGCCCACTCTTTTGCATATGTCCCTTTGGTTGGCTCCAATCTGACACAACAAAGAAAATTATTCTGCTACTCAGACATCTGATGTCTCTGTACTACAATGGGGGGAGGGGTAAAGGAGTAGGCACTATCACAATGAACCAAAATCATTAAATACAGCATTTCGAAAAATCAATAATACTTAGATTCAGTGTGTGAAGAGTGAAGACATATACTCTGTACAAAAGGTCCCTAATTCATACATGTAAAAAATACAGATGGGCCGAACCCAGCCTATATAGAAAGTTTTACTGGGGTTATAACGTATGTACACCACTTAGTTATGATTGTATTTTGATTATTCTGGCATCAACTCAAATTTTAACTCTTTTAAATGCAATAAGATATGCATCACAAACATATAGGTTGTTTTTTATTGTTCATTTGGCCTTTACCCAGTCTTATACAAACTGAAATGTTTTGTTGATAGATGGGTTTGGTGTGCTGACCCCCTATCATTCTGTTCTTTAGTGCATTCTTTGCACATACAATTACAGTATTGCATAGGGCTGGGTTTAGTTCGGGTTCCAAACCGATCCTATGTATCCAAGGTTTGAACTGACATTTTGGTTATCCGAATAACAGAAACCAAAGCCGAGCCGTTCATAAAACGGGTAAAGGTTTATTGGGAACTGATTTTTCAGGTCAGTTTACCCAAAACAAATTTAAAACCGATTTTCTATAGAAATAAATAAATTATTGAACTAATTTTCAACGCACTAAGGCCAAAGCAAACTTGTATTGACAAATTTGAGCCCTTTATTAGTACTACCAAGCCCATGGCTGGTAGCCAACACGGTGACAATGAAAGTTGCTAGGAGATCCAGTTTATATAGAAATTTTGGAGGAAGTCTTCTCTTCTTCTAGTGTGCGACAACATGGTGTTAGGCAAGACTGAAAATTTGAAGAAAAATGACACACCTTGGTATCGATCCCATGACTTCAAAGAAAACGAATACACAGTACGACCAACTTCCCAGCGTGCTAGATGCATTCTAAGTGAACTCGAGTAGGTATTATAGCTTGGGTAAACCTATGTTTAAAAAACCGACCCGGCCCGGCAACCCGGAATGAAACCCGGTTCAGTTAAATAAAAACCCGGAAATGGTCAAAAACCAGAAACCCCGGCTGACCAGGCAAAATCCGGTTTTGGTTGTTTTTCCATTTTTTTAAATTTTAAAGCATTTTTAAGCCATAAAATTGCAATGTTAATACCCTAAAAAGAAAAAAATATGCAATCTATTTATATATTACTTATTTGTTTAAGAATAAAAATCATTTCAAATTATATAATAAATGTCCAATGAAAATTAAAAATATGGAGTATCATTATACTCCCTCTGTTCTCCAATAGATGTCCTTATAGCCTTTGGCACAACCGCACAAGGTTTAAGAAGAAATTAATAGGGGTAAGATAAAAGGTGCAGTGGGTTGCGTTTAAATGAAAAAGTGGGAAAGAGAATGAAAAAGTAGAAAAGAGAATGAGGGTATATAGGTATATTTATTGAAAAAACTTACCAAAAATAGAAAGTGAGACAACTACTAAAGAACATCCAAAAATGGAAAGAGGGACAAGTATTAGAGAACGGAGGGAGTATATTTTAATAAGGTCAAAATGGTATTTTGAAATATTATGAGACTTTTTTAACTTTTAAGTGTTTAGCAAGTATTATTATTAGTTGATTATTATGAAATAACTACCTTTTATTTTAATTTTGTATACAATTAGATGTTTACTATTGTTAATTGGTTGACCAGTTTTATAGCGTTGACCGGGTTGACCGTGACCCGGTCACGTGGTCGGGTCGGGTCGCTTCCCGGTCCGGTTTCTTAAACATAGGGGTAAACATCATTAACAACCATAATAATGATTATTGTTAATGTAAAATTGTCAATAAGGTTTGATTCAAACCGATTACTATTAATGCCAAACCACTTCGAGCCCTTTCAGTCCACATTTACTCTGCACCAAACATAAATGCTGCTCCTTCCAAACCACTTCTTGGTTCAAGCCTGGTTTACTCACCAATTGTACTCAAATCTTGTTGGGCCACTACCTACTGCTGTGCAAAGGACACTGAATATCTTTTGGTAATGAGTATAA